TTTTTGTCATTTTTACTTTTTGAAAGTGGTCACATGAATCATGAATGATACAGATCACACTTTCAATAGGGAAAATGCTTAACTATGGTGTAAAAAATCTTTGGTTTCTGTACATCTACACAGAGCGAATGATACAGATCACACTTTTAATAGGGAAAATGATAAATATGGTGTAAAAAATCTTTGGTTTCTGTACATCTACACAGAGCAACAAATGAAAAAAGTTGTCAATAATGAAGTTATCACAGTATATGACTTGAAGAATGTTGTTCATGCTCCTGTATTGCAAAGGTAATTCCCTGCTAATTCTCTCAGATCAACAGTCACAAGCCTGAATCATTATTAGCAGTTGTGTAAATCATGAAAATATGGTTGCAGACTGTCACTTCAAGTTTCTATTCTTTGTTTAACTAAGGACACAAGTAACTAATATGTTGAATATATGTCTGCTATATAAAATTGATTTTCTAAAGGGGTACTTTCCATTTTATTCATTATTAGCATCTATTGTTGTATATTTCCTTTCAGAGTACAATCTTTAAGTACTATTTTGCTGATACTATCCCATAAAAATCTCTCTCTCTCTCTATGTATATATATAAATATATATATATATATATATGTAAGCTGTATATATATAGCCTTAGTATACCTGGCTATAATATGAGTAATGAGGGCTGCATATATATGATCTGAAAGCAATAAGGCTTAGAAGATGTAAATATGATATTGCTTCTAGACTTCCAATTAGGTAGGCGATAATTGAAAGAATATTATTTAATTGGGTAAACAAGGTGAATAGTTTGGTGTTGGCCTTTGGGAATGAGCAAGATACAAATTACAGAAGCAAATCTGAAACAGGCATCTTTAATTAAGAGCCTAGTAAGACTAGCATGACTTAAGAAAAGTAGGCATCTGTTTTTAAGTCTGAGGAGTATTCTGCTCTGTGTATCTCCTATCTTCTCTAATGGTTCTCTGAACTTTTTCCCACAGCAGCTGACCTGAAACCACTCTTTTCTATAATTGTGACTTCTTAAGCAAAATCACTATGTTCATGGGACTAGTCACAAACAATGAAGAACAAAGACAGCTATGACAAAGATTTCAGCTGGGTTCAAGTTGCTGTGTGCTTTGTTATTCCCTACCAGTGAGATGACCTACAGAGTCATTGCAGAGCAGCAGGTTGATTGAATTGTGGTTCTGTTCCTGGCTCCTCCTAGCCAGCAGTAGGGGACTCTTCATGCACAGCTGTCCAAGGTTCTCACAGTATCATTTGCATTTAGTGGCAATTTGAAGCTGGGAGTTATGGGTAGAGATCACATTTCTAGGCTTCGAATCACGTGACAGTCTCTGTTTCCCAACACTGACAAAGAATCTTGGTGCTTCTGTTGGGGTAGACACAACTGTAAGTGTAGAATGACAACTGGCATTCTGCAGTATTCTTCTAAGCTCTGTAAAGACATGTAGGAAGATGTGGGCTCTCAGTCACTTTCTTGGAGTGTCCTGTTAGTTCATTCTTTAATTTCAGTGCTTCAGGGAAAAGGACATAGAACATCTTCCTGTCTGAACCACCTCCTTATTTTTCTTCAGCTGTTAAAACATTACTAAATCAATGAATGGTGATATTAATACGAATAATATCAAATGAATAAATGTAGTGTAATTTTGCTAGTAACTTCAGAAATTAACTGACTGATAATGCAATGGCTATAGGACACTTTCTGAGCAGCTGTGTTGTGGTATGGAGATTTGTGTAAGTGCTTGAAGAATCTCCAAAGAGGGCTCCCAAACCTTCCAACAGAGCTAGCCTTTTCCAGACTGGTGGAATAGAAAAGTGTCAAGATAATAATGATATTTTGATAGAATTAGAATTGAAAATCAGGAGCCAGGCATGTAGTTGTTGCAGTGAAATAAACCTGCATGTCCCTTACTCAGGCTTCAGTAAATTTATTGCAGTCGAAAATTACAGTCCAGACCTTATTTAAATAGACTGTGTGACCTTACTAAGAGCTCAAATTGTTAAACATTTAAGACTGTAATTTCACCAGGCCTTTGCAGCCATTTAAATTGTTACTATTTGGTACAGATACAGCACATATACGCTTGCAGGATGAGCTAGCAACTCAGTTTAGTTTGGGCCACAAACCTTTTGAATTAAGGTTTTCTTATGTAATAGAGTAGAAAGTGTAAGACTGATCCCCTTGCTCCCACTAGTAGGATCCTAGGAGAAATTTAACCTTTTAGTCTTGACTTAGAGATGCCCAATAATTCCTGACTTAGAGATGCCCATAATAGCATTGGGAAAATGCTATTCCAAAAGTACTTCCACCTCTGTGCAGAAAGATTCTCATGAGGCAGGAGTTACATGAAGTGAAGCTGTCCCTTGCTTCCCATACCAACTAGCTGACAAGTTGTCGTTACATTCAGTTCACAGCACTCTTGCTATTATGCAGCTCTTTTTATCCTCCTCATTCCCTGTTTAGCCTTCCTGGTGGAGGGACTCTGGGCCCAGACACACTCCTACCCAGAGGAGTCTAGTTGGAGCAGGAGCTGTATTTGCAGACCAGTTAGCCAGGTGCTATCCCAAAACAGTATCATAGTTATATCTGCCTAGAGGAATAGGGTGTTGGAAAATGCAGCTGCCATGGACCAGACAGAGAGGCGTACAGCAGGAGACACAAATGACACCATCTACTATCAAGACTAATAGGTCTGGTTTGAAAGATGTAAGCAAATGACTTTGGAATGGTTTGGGAATATTGCCACTTAGACCCAGGGCTGGGACATTTTACCGGTGAGGCAGCTGCAGCAGCAAGACCAGTCCACCTCTGCACTGAGCATTCCATCAAGGCTTGCTGCTCATGCCCACACACCATGTAGTGCCACCTGCAATCCAATCCCTTTTCCCAGGTACCAGAGGTTTTTCAACAGCACGTAGGAACAAAGTGGCACGATGTGGCATCCAATACACAGTGAGTGCATTCTGTTGGAGAAGCACACTTCCCAAAATTTAGCCCTCTGTGTTTCCCAGCTGCCTGGAAAGAAGGTAATGTTACACTGAAGAGTAGCAGCACAATCACCCAGCTTGGGCCGTGGCCCTGTGCTCCTGCAGGGAGGCAGCCTGCTCCTGTGCAGGCAGGAGTTGGCCTTCTCAGCAGTGCCATCCTGAACAGCAAACCCTTGTCACAGACGTGATACTTGCTGGCTGCTGCAAGATGCTCATGTGCTTAGCTGAAGGGTAATAGAAGAAATGCTAGAGTACAAGAGCCAGTAAAAAAAATACAATTTATTGGTTTAATTTGGGTCACAAAAGTACTGCCCTTTAGGAAAAAGAATTATGAAATAAGTTTACACAGTCATGGTAATTTTTAATGAAGAGTCATTCTTTTTCTGTGTCCTTAAATAATAATATTAATTAAATATCATATACATATGTCTGGCAGGTTATTGATAGTCACTCTGTCAATAGTTTCCTGAGCCATCAAACTACTTATTGCTCTGAAATGTAAAAAAGCTAAAAAGATTAAAGCAAATAATGCATATTTTTCTTTTACTTTTTAGTTAAGGTCCAAAATACAGGCTTCCTTAGAGAAATAGCCATTTCAGTGCTGGCTATGTGATTTCAATAGGGTATGTGGCAGTGATTCTGTTAATGGAGTCGTATAAAAGTTGAAATTGGGTTTTGCTGCCTGGAATTACGGGATGCAGCCTAATAACCTTTTACCTTTACAGCTCTATTTACATACTGCTACTGTTGCAGTATTTTATAAGAAGTGGTGTGACTTCTTATAAAGTAAGTGGAAACCTGCCTGCCCCCCTCCCCCCCCCAGCAGATTCTAGGACATGAAGAATAACTTTTCCTGTTAATAGTCTGCTGCACACAGTTTAAAATCAATATTTAAATATTGAAACTGTAATCTATACTTTCTAGCTGCTTTTCTCCAAGATCCTAGTCACTAAAGGAAAGAGTCCTGTTGTGCTGCAGACAATAACCAATAATATATTTCAGTGAAACTTATGGTAGATGTTACAATAAACTGTGACAGATACAAGTTTCTCCCAAAAGAAGCTCCTTCCTGACCTCCCTCATTTCTGAATATATTGCTGCTCTGTTTATCAACTGTATTTAATACAAAGAACTAATTATGCCTATTTTTTCCACCTTCACTCATGACTGTATTACCTTCTGAAAAAAAGAACATATCCATCACAATTTCAGTAGAAGAGGTTTAAATAACTGATGATTAACCATAGAATTTTACACTAATTTAACCAAGGCATTTATTCCTATTTAAAAATCTTTTTGACAGCTGATTAGAGTGATGAGTATTAGGTGGAGAGTGATGAGCTAGGAAATGATCCTCACCAGCTTCTGTTCCTTACCTTGCTTGCTTTCCTTACTTTTGTGGAGCTGCCTTCTTTGTAAGTATTGACTGGTTCGTTAAAGGGGCACAGCTGTGCCAGTGCTGCAGGTGCACACCCAGCCTCCCCCAACAGCATGGCTGATGTGTGTGGTACAGTGGGTGAAAGAGTGGGGCTTCTGGCCTCTGCTGTGATTATCTGCAGACCAAACATTAGGACACATTTGATCCCTTCAGAGGTACAGCATCATTTGAGGGGTTGTTTTCACTCATTCAGCTTACATAAGAAAGGGCAGTTTCCTAAATACCAGAGTCTTCCTTGATTGCTAGTTGAGGCATCATGGTCTGACTGCAGGTAGTGGCAACTCCCCAGATCACCAGGAAAGATCTTTCCCAGTTTCAGGCTTTTTTTCCCTTATCAGTGGGCTAAGATACTTCCTAAATTCATCAGCCTGTGCTTAGTGCCTTGCATGCGCTGGCCAAGTGTGCTTGATGCAGACAGCTACATACATTCAGGGTTCCACAGATCTCACTGTATTGTATAGCACTCACTCTGTAGCACAATGGAGCACCAACATACACATCCTTACCACAAAGTATTTGCTTACAGAAATCTTTCAAATTTAGAATCACAGTAATTCAGCTAATTGGAGCCCCAGTAGTAACAAGCTTCCAGTAGGCTCCTTCCATGGCCATCAGTTCATCGTGAGTGCCCCTTTCAATGATGAGTCCTTGTGACATCACAGCAATGATGTCAGCGTTCTGGATGGTGGACAAGCGGTGGGCGATGACGATGCAGGTGCGCCCTTCTCTGGCTTTATCCAGTGCTGCCTGCACAGTCTAAAGGCAACAGACAAAGTGTCAGAATAAAAATGTGCAAACACAACAAGGCTCAGAGCTGGAGGAACCCAGTTGCTTCAGATTAATTAACCATATTATGCAACACTTGTAAAAGGGACAGTGAGACTAAATCAGAGGTTCTGATATTGATGTGCTTAGCTGGGTCATGAACTCTGTTTAGCAGTAGTACAAACAAGGGACAGCTAAACATAGAGGTAGAAATTAAGGAAGGCCTTTACTCTGCTGCCATGCTAAATGTCAACTGAATGCTTTGAAATCCAGGCAATTCAGACATTTTTGATGAAGTGCTGCCTCTCATAGATAGTTTAAGAGCACTTGGGGCTGGCTGTTTTTTCTTACAGCTGTACCTGAAGTGCAGGCACTTCTTGGAAAGATCATTAAATGTGAAAGTGCTGAATTCACAATGTGGAATAATGTGCAATCATGCAGCAGAGTATGTTGGCATATCTATAGAACACAAAAGGTATTGTATGTTGTAGGCCATTGTGTTAACTTTCCCTTTATTGATTCTCATTGTGCATTTACCTTTTCACTTTCCGTGTCTAAGGCAGATGTAGCTTCATCCAGTAATAAAATTTTAGGGTCTCGTATGATGGCCCTTGCTATGGCAATGCGTTGCTTTTGCCCACGAGACAACTGGGATCCCTGAGCCCCAACATTAGTTTCATATTTCTGAAAAATATACAAAAGGAATATTTTATTCAGATGTAATTTAACACACCAGTACACAGCTTAAGGAAGAGCAGGAGAGAGGCAAGAAAGTTGACCGCTGCTGACCACTTGCAGAAGCTGGGAATGCAGAAATAACATACAGCAGCAAACATGTTTAGGGTGAGGTTTCCAAGCTCTGCTTTGTCTGCACATGGCCCTGAGGCCCAGGCAGCACAATGATGAGCCTGGAAGGAAAATGTGATAGCAAAATGTTGGCTGATTTGTCTGAGGCAAAAAGAATTCTCCCTGCCCTAGATTTGGGAGAAGAGGCTGAAAGCGATTTAAGGGCTTTCTAGAAAAGTGCTTTGTTTGGGTGCCTAAATTGTATCCATACCTTATATTCTTTTTATATTTATATTATTTCAGTGAATTTAAATACTTCTCAAGCGTACATAAGCAGCCACCTTCAAATGTTTTTGTCTAAGTATCATTCCTGCTCACAAGGCAAATCTCCCACAGCTGGGAACAGGATTTATGTATTTACCTACTGTGTAAGAATTCAGTAGTAACTCATACCCAGACTTCAAGGAACACAACAAATGGTCACAGCACCCCCTTCCTCTTACTGTCACAGCTGTAAAAGGACATAAAAGGAGCATGCAGGTAGCAACTTCAGCTGGTTTCAGAGCAACTCCTGCAATGAACACTGAGCAGCCAAGGCCTCTCAGGTACTTACATTAGGCAGAGACATGACAAAATCATGCAGTTGAGCCTTCTGGGCTGCTTCTATGACTTTTTCCATTGTTGCTTCTTTTGTGTTACTGCCATATTTGATATTTTCAGCAATGCTGCAGTCAAACAGCACAGGCTCCTGTGACACTATTCCAATTTTTGATCTGAGAAACTGCACATTTACGTTCTTAGAGTCATGTCCATCTATTAACTATGAGGAAATGGAAGAAAACTTGAAACATCATTACAAAACAACAGCTTGCAACACCCAAACACTTTATAGCAAAACTAAATTATTTAACCATATCATTAAAACACAAACACAACTGATTTAAAGTGATTGGTTGAATTGCTTGTCTCTGACTCCTTTGCACATGATGTGTATTTTGTAGTATGGCTTTCATCCATACCACAAAATACACTAGATCATTTGCTCAACAGAAGCCCTAGTGAACTATTTAATTGCTTAAAGTTAGGCACATGCTTTATTGCCTTCCTGACATAGTGATCGCCACACACATTTCTTCCCAAGATAAATCAATCTAGGTGGGTAAATATTTACATTAGGAAAACATAAAAAAGCTTTCTAAGCTATCAGTAATTGAATAACTGGAAGTTAAATCTAGGCAAGTTCCAGGTTCTTTGTTGCTCCATTCAGACTTGGTTTTGCTTGTGCTCTCACAATTCACAGCATACACTTGTATGTTTCATACAGGAGCTACCAAGGCAAATGCCTATGGCCTACCTAATGCATAAAAGTGCACCTGAGGCATGTAGTTCTCTTATCTTGTCTGAATATGTCTGAGATAATACTTGGGAACTGTCCAAATAGTCCACACCTGTCCTTTTGAGAAGGAGAGGAAGCCTCAAAGTGCACATGTATGAGCCACCACTACTAGGCTGGACAGTAGGACAGGCAGAAGGCCCTTGGAGCACTGCTGAAAACCAGAGCACAAAACCCGCATTTTCTTTGCTTACCACACTTCCTTTCTCAGGGTCATAGAAACGCTCCAGAAGCTGGACACTGGTGCTCTTACCACAGCCACTACTTCCAACAAATGCCAAAGTTTGTCCAGGTTTAACAGATATAGAGAGTCCTTTCAGGACCTGAATATCAGGCCTAGAAGGGTATGTGAATTTACAGTTAAGAAAGTCAATGCTTCCCTTGAAATCATCCTGGTGAAAAGAAAAAGGAGAAAGATGTTACAGTGAGCACAAGCTCAACCCTGAATTGAAAGTACAAGACAGCTCTTCCTCAGATCCATTCTTGCATCTTTTGCTTAAAAATTGGCATTTGTACTTATGAAATTATCTCAGGAAAAGGGAAAAAACCATACTGGAGTAGCTGTCCTAGCGTTGAAGCTATCAGTCATAACACTATTCCTCTGCTTATGCTTCCCTGCATGGCACTGGTCAGAGGCATAAATTGGAAATGGCATTGCCTTGCCACTGGGCACGTTTTTCATTTTAATATAGACACTGTGTATAAAATAAGTAATTTCAATTTTCTGGGTCTGACTTTCCAATTCACCAGAAACTGAGAATTTTCATTTTGTCTGACGCAACAATTCTTTGCCTCCTTATGAACACCCCCCCACCAGTTAGATATAAATGGAAAAACCTCCATTATAATCAGCAATAGTAAGGTTTGCCATGAACTGTAAAGCAGGAAATAAGAGCTTGCTGTTCTGTGAGTGATCCAAATCAGCTCCATTCCAATTTACAGGAGTTTTACACTGAAAAATTCCTAATGGCTGACTTTATACTACTCTTCCTGTCTAGTACAGAGCTTGCTTCCAAAACAGCAAAGACAAATAAAAATTTTACAATGAGGATAGCCTTCTTGCAAAACATTGATCCACACTGACTCCTAAATCACTAATGCAACATCCACGCCTGTAGTGAGCTGACTCACATCACAAATTACACATCTCTCTTACCCATTTTTCCCCTTTTTCACTGTAAACACTGATTTTAGGAAGCCGATCAATCAGTTGAAAAAAGCGTGCAGCAGATGTTTTGGCTTTGGCATAGTTTGGGGTATAGGAAGAGGCTCTTCCCAAAGCAGTTCCACTGGTGACAATTGCAGAGATCACCCTGTGGGGAAGGAAGGGGGAAACGGTCATTCTTGGGAAGTCATCAGGAAACTGAACACCACATTGAGTCCAGAACCTTTAGAGACCTGTTTGTGGCTCTGAGCAGGCTCTCACCTGAACACAAAGCTGTAATGGAGTCCTTCATTGTCAACAAGAAATCCCCCATATCGATAAGAGACAGAGTTGGCAATGAACACAATGCTCTGGGCAAAGCCAAAGCAGAGTCCATACACGTGTGCTTTTTTGATTGCAGCTCTGTAGGGCATATCCAGGTGCTTCTCAAAATTGTCAATAAACATTTTCTCTTTTCCTATCCCAGCTACTGTTCTGATGTTAGAGAGAGCTTCACTGGCAATCTGGAAAGGGGGGGGGGGGGGGAAAAAAAGGGTAAAAGCTCCTAATTTTTACTTGGAAATGTAGAATGTGGTCTCACAAGTGCATGATTTTTCATGAACTCAGCACACTGATGCAATATATAAATTCCTTCAGACATGATACAAACTGGCCCAAACATCAGACAGCCTAAAGAGACTTTTCCTACAAGCAATTTCCTATTAATTTCCTTGAGAGGAATGATCTGCCTGCTCCACTGGAGCTGTTACTGTAAGCACTTTTAGGGAATCAGGCACCTGCTCTCACTTGTGACTTATCTCACATAAGGTGAATAAATGTGACACCCACAAAAGGAAAAATTGTTTTAGGAACTTCTTTGGTTGCATGGATTTATTAATTAAATATGTTTATTTCAATTGTTTTGTGTCACTTTTAGCAATAGTCAAAAAAAAGAGTTAAACCCCAACTTCCATTTCATAAATTGAATCCACTTGAATTTAGTAAGTTTCCTCACCTGCTCACCCTCCCTCCCTCTCATGTCCAAAAGGCTGATGCGGTGGAACATATGAATCTTCAGTGACACAATTTCCAAGATTTTTACCTTGTTACATAGGCAAAGAGTAAGCAAATGCTTGCCTATGCACATAGAAAAATGCAACACTGGAAATTATGAGACAATCACCACAGAAACTTGTGTGGAACTTTTATTAGTTGTAGGCTTCATATTTTAATTTATTCACAGAATTTCGGTATATATCCCAAGAAAAGAGTACCACAATTTCATCTGCAGACGTAAATTAACGGCTTGTTTGGTCCTAATTTCACCCTTTTAATCTCAAGTAATTTTACTAAGAAATTGCTTTAAAATGTTGTCGTTTGCTTGGATTTTGATAGCAGATTCATAATGTAACACATTGCTTTGGGAGGCAAGTGTGGTGTTACAGCTTATGAATGTTTTCAGCATGTAGGAAAAGATCTGAATGTAGACAATCAGAAATCCAGTTTTAAGGGTTTTTTTTTTCTGACCAAAATTGAGAGTCAATGCCTTGCATTATCATTCAATGTGAAGGAACAGATAATAGATATTTTGAATTGGATTGTGCAGACATTTTCCATGTTTAGCATGGCTCATGAGCAATCACTTTGGAAGGAAGAATTCAGTGTTTTTAGCATTTGGATGCAGTACTGGCAAATAAATTAGACAATAACACCACACACAATCAATCATCACCAAAACTGCTGAAGCATTGCTTAAAATATGACTTCATCATAGCCTCTGGGTTGTTCTATTGAGTAAGAGCTGTTGCCTTGACTCATTAGTGAAGTTTCTCTCCTTGTCAAGAAGTATTTTGATTTACGACTTTTGTAAATAATTATTTTGGGTGTGGGCAGTTGTTCAGGTCCTAATTCTTAAGGTGGGAAGGGCTATGAGCTTAATTCTTAAGCTGGTGCGACCCACCAAAGGAACAACTGTCCTCTCTAAAATCCATGTACTGATTTGTGGTTCAGTGCCAGATTCTCAGGTGCGAGAATTTCTAGGTGAACAGCTATCACTGCTTTCTGAGGACAGCTTAATCACAGGTCATCAGCAAATGGGAGTTTAAATAAAACCCAACAAAGGTGAACCACACTGCTGAGAGATCTACGTCTACCACTTCAGTAACTTTTGCAAGGTCAGTCCCATTCCATGCAGCAAGTGCTTTTGCAGGTAGGGAGTTCCCATTGCTGTTTCAATAGTTTAACAAGCTGAAATATTGCAACTTATTCACAAAGCATTGCCAGGTTCATGACATTTGAATTACTGATGGTCCCCTTTCATCTAACTGCGACTGCAAATATAAATTAGTTTTTAAACAGCATTACCCGTCCAGTGGCTTCCAGTGCTTTCTTGTCCTGTGAGGCAAATCCTGTCAGCATTTTAGCCTGCACAGCTCCAGATAAAGCCAAAAATGGCAGGAAACACATTATTACCAAACTCAGTTTCCAGCTGAAGTAGAAGGCGATGACCATGGCCACCCCAATGTTAGTAAAGGAATTGACTATCATTCCTATCTGCGATCCAGTTGCCTTTGAAGAAAAGAAACAGAAATCATTGATTTGTACTTCAAAAACAAATTAAACAAATCTTCCTATAAAACTTTAGAAAACTGTAAATTAAAATAACATAAGACACTAACAGCTAGACTGCACAGGAATTTAGCCAGTCTGGATATACTGTTTTTAGTTAATTGGATCAAGAGCAGGACTGAAAAAGTCCAATATTCCTTTGATCCACCAATTTTTTCATTGAGAATTCAGAAGATTGTTTCTACTGTTTGTGAGAAATATAATGTAATTATTGAAATCTGTTGCCTTGGTTCCCTGGAGAAGCACTCATCTGAATACACTGTTTAGCCTCTACATTTATCCATGTAGATATAAATAATCAACAGGACTATTTTATAGCTTAGCTATTAACAACAAACCCTCAGCAGTGCTAAAATCAGTAAGCAACATCACTGAAAAGGGCTGAAACAAAGTTGTATTTCTGCCTATCCCTTTTTTAAGGAAAAAAGTTAAATACAGCTTTGACATCATCTTTATTAAATACATTTGTCTGCTCCTTACATACTTCAACAATGCTATTCTTTCTAATAGACTTATTTACTCAAAAGTAATTTTCTTTCATAGCAATAAACAGCATTCTAAATAGGAACTATATTGCTGTGTATTAGAATAAAAATGTACATTTGATATCCTTGATGATTTTCAGTCAAACTCATTTGCTGGGTATGAACTTGGCAGCACAAAATGCTCATCATCTCCTCTCTGACCTGCAGCAAGGTCTGTGTCAGGCAGTGAAAGGTGCAGGGTACTTCTGCACAGCTCTGGTCTCCCTCACCCCCTGCACGCTGTGGGCTGGATGGCTGTGCCTCACTCTTGTGCTTCAAACAAAGATGTCCCTTAGGACATCACATGGTTCAGTCAGAGTTTTACAAGTTTATTTATTTCAATTAAAAGATACCCTGTGAGGTTTGCAGCAGGTTTCCCTGATTCTGTAGAAATTGCTGCTGACAGGGCTTTTGGAAACCTCTTCTCTAAAACCCCCGTTAACTTACAATCTTCAGTCAAGCTGAAACATGGCAATTTTTGCAACAAAAGAAATCTGTACATCTCCTTCCTTGTTTCTAGAAAACTGCTTGCATTGCAGCCCAGCAAAATGGCATCTGACTCACTTCTACCTAAGGATCTGTTCAGATAAGGAACATATATAGCTCAGCATGATTTAACCCTCAGCCGCTAAGGAACACAATGCATGCAGCTAATGTCCCACTTTCCCAAACACTGAAACTGGCTGCAGGAGTCCCAGCCGGAGCACCAGCCAGTACTGCAGAAGTGGGTTGTCAGTTTAGATCAAAATTACCACAACATGCACAATACCATGCTGAAAACTGGAAAACATGGTTATTAATGACTGCCACTAACATATTATTTTGACATGTTTTTGAAATAAACACTTTAACATTGAGGCAAAAAGCTAATTCTTCTCCAGAAAAAAAAAAAAACCAAAACATTAAACTCCTCCACTGGGTGTTCCCATTCCATTGTTGGTTGATATTTTATTGATTTTTCTGTTCTTTTTTGTACTTTCAGGGTATACCATATACTACCATTGGTTCCATGGTGGCAGAAATAGCTTAATTGGCTTACCAAGAACTGGTCTACACTGATCTGGCTGGTTGCACAGTAGCTAATTTCTGTGACAACATGCCAAAAGAGGCCTTCAGTCAGTGTCTATAGTAAAATGATTCATAAGGTGCCAGGTCTTACCCCTTGGACCTGTGAGGCATCTGTTGCAAGCCTGGTAGTCAAAGCACCGGGGCTGTTCTTCCGGTCATCAAACCAACCAATGTCTTGCCCAAGCATAGCCTGGAAACCAATTTTCCGTAACCGTCTTGTAAGCAGCTCACCAGACTTGGCAAAGGTGTATCCCTGGGGTACATGAAAATAAAAACAGACTGTACAGAGAGACACACCCACCAAGAAAGGGTGCAAAATCAAAAATATCTATTACTAAATTGGACTATTACCTGGAGAAACTGTGTGAAAAATGAAAGAACTCCGACTAAGACAAAGAGCACACAGACACCGTTGATCTGGGTTTTTTGCTTTTCTTCATCAAGAATGGAGAAGGTCTTTGAAAAGAAATAAATAGAAATGTTAGTTTTGCTGTGTATGACATATGTACTTGATTCCCAATTGCCAAGTGCAGAAACCCATTCTGCAACCAAAGCCAGAACACAGAGTTCTCCCTCATCCCCTGCAAAGGTCTGATTCCTTATTTTTCCTAAGGTGACCCTGGATTAAAACATAATGGGATTTACTCCTGTTAACCAACAAGTTCAGTATGCTTGGTGTCTGCACGCACTACTCCTATTTGTGGCCTATCCCTGGTTATAATTAACCATTCACCTCCCACTGTAAATAATGATAACCAGAGAATGTCAGTGTAATAAACAGCATAGCAACAAAGCAACAGTAAAATCTGTCCTGTAAAATCAAACTATCCCATTCTGCAGCTATCCTAACATGGTCAGTTATGTTTTCAATCTGTGTTCTTTATTAAAAAAGTAAAAAAACCCACTGACCATAGCAACATGCAGCATGGACAATAGCAGCAGGTTTATAAAAAAGAAAGATTTGTTGCTGAGGTGTCCATATTCAGATCATGTAAGTCTCAGCAGTTTTAGTGTGGAATCTCATCTAGAGCCATGGACTCCATGCCCAGTAGGAGTGAGAGCACACCTTTCAGTTGGGTTTCACTGGAAAGGATCCATACTCTGAGACAATTCCACAGGGAAAACCAAAGCATGAGTAAAAGAAACTACTGTTCAAAAGGTACATACACAGTATTATCTAGCTCTTCACTGACTTTTTGGGACTTATTTCTGAAAATCTTCAGGGCAGACTTAGCTAAATTTATCTTTTCATTTCATAGCTGTGGGGATTTTTCCCTCACTTCCCCAGCATATTTGTCCCAGAATACAAGCCCACGTGTCTGACACAATAACATTGCAGGTATTTGGGCAGATCTGAAAGCAGATGTATATTCCATCTGCCTGACTGCTTTGGCATCAGACAGAAATATTTTAAATTTATGAATAATAAAACACAGATATTGGACTTCCCTCATGTTCATTATGGCTTGCTTTTTCTTGCAGCCTCTCTTCTTTGACAGACTGAGGCCTTCAAAAGTAGAAGTTCATCCTTGGCAATGAAGGTATTTAGTATTGTTAGCCCCAGACCTCCCAAGGTCTAGAAGACTCCTCTCCAAAGGAATCAAAGGTAAGATTCACTGTGGAATGGTTATAGCAGTGTCTCACCTGCTGTCTAGTGAAGCCACAGTCCTTGACATGAGGTCTGGACACTCAAAAAGTGTTTGGAGGTGGTACACCTATGTCTAAAGGCATTAGGCAGAAATCTTAAGTGGATCAACAAGGCCTGGAACATCCTTTTTTCTCCTGCTCATGGGATCTTACTTAAATGCAAAACTGCAAGTTAATGTAATTCAAAGTAACTTCCCAGTGAGGAGTGTCGAAACCAAAACAATACTCACAAAAAACCAAACAACAAAAGGTCAATCTTTTTTTTTTATTTTTTATAGACTGCTGGCACTGCTCTTAGAATCCTTTTCTACCAGGAGCTCAAATGCTGGGTCATTCATTCATTCATTTGCTTTTTCCTGCCTGTAAGGTTTTTGACCTCCAACATCTGTCTACCTTTTAGGGCATATATTTTTGCACCCATGGGTACCTACCATGACCTATGCAAATGAGTGGGAAGCACAAGTTTTATCCTACATCACATGGGTACCAAAACCACAAAAAACCCACGGCATTCCCATTTTGTTCTCAGTGAATGTGTTGTTTACTTAATAAGATACAGCTTGAACAGATGGGATTTCTCTAGCCTAATTCTTGAAAATTCAGGACACTTTCCTAGGACCAGTTAGAGCAGCACTGAATATCTTCAGGCAGCCCTGCAGTTTCCCACCAACTTGTCATTTCCCCAGAAAGCTTTTACACAAAAGGGGACACATCCTTTTTTCTATCACCACAGGTTTTTGAAGAAATAAACACTCATGGCTGAACTTGACAAGTTTCAAGAGAGGTGGTGGTAGTGGATCTTGATAATATTGTATCTTTTAGTGAATGTTAAAGTTTAAAGCATATTCCTACTTCCTGCTTCCAAACCTACTGATACTAGCCTACTCTCTGCTGGTGGCTGTGAACCCAGGTAAAATTACCTACTTCTCCCTAGGCATTCCGCAGGAATCAGGCAGCAAAAAGGTGCTTGAAATATGTAAACAAAAAAGTGAAGCATTTTTTAGATCTGATCCAAAGCTTTCTCAAAGGCTTTCCAAGTCTGCATAATAAAATTCTGCAGAGAATGACCTTTGCATGTCTCTCTCTCCACTGTACCTGCATGTGAGGTATTTTTTGTCTCATCTAAAATAAACTGTATGCAAGTACAGAAACCCATTCCCAACAGTTCCTGGAAAATGAACAAAAGAGATAATGAAGAACACATGACAAGTAGTGATAAGCTTACCCCTTCAAAGAGCTCTAATGATAGTTTGATGACAGTGATATTTATATCTCTACTGAATAATTGTTTACCAGCAAGAAGGTTAACCCCATTTTCATTATGAGATCTAAAGATTTGCCAAAACATGTCAAGTTGTGCATCATATATTCACTCTCCTCTGTTTCAGAGCTAAAATACACTTTAAAATATAAATACCCCAAGAATCTGACTGAATAACAAAGCATAGAGTGGATTGACTGCTCCATTCACAGCTGCTGCCAGAGATCCAAGCACCAGGTATGGCCATTCAGAGGCATTGTATTTCAAAATTCTGGTAAATGGTACAGGCTTGGCATCTTCCTCCACAACATATTCCTAAAAAGAAAAAACAGGTTGCATTTGTGAAGTGAATGCATTCCATCAGTGATGCTCTCCCTTTGACAGTGAGATAAAATAGTTAGCCAGGTTTGTTAAACTAGTGGCCCAAATAGCTGATCTAGCTTTGGACAGGGGAGGCAAAGACAGCTGCTGTCTGGAGCTCTTTTGGAGCTCTAATAAGTCAAGTTTACTTAAAAACCACTGAAATAAACAATAAACTTTACCATCCCTGGGGAAAAAGAGAGACATTCATATCTTCTGCAGCTCTAATTGTTCCAGCTGCAGAGGTTATTTACAACCAGCTTGAGATTTTATGCCACTGAAACTCAGGCCATTCCCTTTCAGCTGTCTCCAGATAAGGTGTGATGAAATATTCAGTGCCAAAACTTAAATTCCCTCCTCACAAGCAGCTTTTTCTGTCACTCATTCAATCTCTTAAATACTACTTTAAAGTGAGTGACCACACTGATCAGACTGCATCAAATTAATAGGTATGTGATATCATTAAAACAGGAGAAATTTCAGAGTGACAGCTGGATTCAGGCTTTTTACATGGTAATTATGCCTCCCTTCTGTGAAACATCCTCAGACTATATGCTGAGTTCCCATAATTATGCCCAGTAAGGGCAGAATATTCATCATCAAATTATAACTTATCCTTCAGTTTGATTTGTGCAGAATTTTTGTAACACCTTGTGTGCTCAGCCCTGCTCATCTCCCTCAATTCATATGACTAGAAACAGTCAGACAAAAAACACACTGTGTAAACCTATCTTTTGGAAATATGCAGGGAGGAGTGGGTGGAAACATCTTGTATTTTCTCTTTTTTCTGAGCTGGTGCCAGAGTGATAGCACTCAAGCCCTCTATTTTTCCACAGAATAGGCTTGGCAATAGCAAGAAGGGTAACTTCTATCTGCTGCTCTCTGTACTGAACAACTGCGGCCATAAAAATGGATGCAGGGAGCTTCATAAGCACTTTGGAAACCCACTGTGCATATTCCTACATCTTCTGTTTAATTTTAAGGCATGCTGGCCTTTATTTTCTATGCCAGTTGAATGAGGATACTGAAGCGAAAGGATTTTGGGTTAGGTTCCAGTGAGGGTGTCTCTCTGCTCAAGTCTCCAGATGATTTTTAGGTGAAAGTGAATGTATTCTTTACTGAACAGGAAGCAGTGCCATTTCTACTACTGAGTGCCCATTAATTACATTTCACAGACTGAGCAGTTTGCTTTTTGTCATTTAATTCAGCTTTTAGGAATGTATGTTTTTCAACTAAATCTACAACATATAGAAATTTACCAAAAGGCAGAGAGCAAATAGCAAATTTCTCTTCTAGAAAATTATATGGAGCAATAATCAAAACATCCATCAAAATGCAGCCTAGAGTTTACAGAGAGATAAGAACTGAAGCTGTGGTTTTGTTTAAGGAGAGAAAAGGATCAAGCCAAGATGTACCTGCCAAGAACTCTTAAGCTACAAGCACATAGGTACCGGTGAGCATTAATGAGTAATATAACCTATTCAGTTGAAAATTTCATAACAAACTATTGGACCTGACCTGTTTTGCTTTTCCATCATCTTCTCCATAAGAAGGCGTAAGATAGGTAGACTCTGCAGAATCTCCTCCAATAGACAGTGGAGGGTCAGGGACCACGTTAGAGAGCTGGGATCTTGAGCGCTGCCGAAGTGAAGCTCTGCAGAGAGAACAGAAATGGCCTGCTATTTACAGCTTAGTAAAAACAATAACTGCTTGCAAGCAGGTACAGTTTTCATGTCAATTAAATCAAAATGCACTGAAGCAATTCATAGGAATCCCACAGACATTTTCTTTCTTAAATATGTTCTCTTAACTTCTTGGGAAGAAAATATCTCACCAACTAAGACACCAAATCAAATCACTGTTACCACTACCAGTAATTCAGTTTAGCAAAACAGGAAGCTGAAACAAAGCACCTCTCTCTCTGACAAAACATAACTGTGTAATGTAAGAGATGTATTCATTTGCACGTGCCTGACATAGGCTTGCCTGGAAGAAATAGTAAGTGTCTAGGTACAAGAAAGTCTGGCTGTAAAATACTTTAACTTTCATCAAGTAGAAGCCATAATAGAAATATGCTTGTGGATTGCATTGATTTCTCAAATAACTGCACAACAAGTAATTTTTCAAATGACTGGACAGAAAGTGCATTAGATGTTACAACTAAGGCTGTATGTTAGTAATATCAAAACCAGAACATTAACAGAGTAGATCAAAATTGGAGAGAATGTACTATGGATAGAAAGGACCAAAATAAACAGCCTTGCTGTTTATCCATTGATTTCAATTAGTAACATTATTACTCAAGCTATTTCTTTGCAAGAGAACTCTATCTCAGTAAACTGTTTGCAGCCCTTCAACCCTCTTTTTACACAGCACACAGAATAGTTATTTATTAGGATTTTGGAATAGTGGGATGAAGTAGAAACATTGAGAGTAGTCTGGAAACATTGTGATTTACAACCATTTTTAAGACTCACCGCAAACTGGCCTGATAGCTTCCCCTGCTGAATGACTGGACATTCTCAAGATTTGGCTCAACCACATTATTCTCTGCTGCTGCAAAATACAGTATACAGAGCTCTGAATTTAGTGCCAAAATTGAAGACAACCTAAATACACTGTGGTTGTGCAAAAAAGTGCATCGCCTCCAAGTTATAAATTGAATACTTTGTAGAAGGAAAGGGGTGTAATATAACCTTGCTACTCAACCTACATGTTTCACAAGTTTTATATCTGTATTTGACATAGTGAAGTTAGCTGAATATTAGCCCAATGACCATCTCATATTGAATGTGACTACTAAAGCATATTTACCTATTTTAACTCTGCAATCACTCTCTTATTTCAAGATAACAATATCCAATGCATGCTTCACAAAAATACAACAGATTATCTATTGAACCTTAATTTCCAGAAGCTTTGATTCAAATCTGCCTCTAGCAAAACAAATAGGATAATTTCAGCATAGTCTGTAATGTGCCTGAATTCCAAACACAGCAGAACTGGACTTTTGGCACTCAGTGGAGTTATAAAATGATGGATACTTCAGGTCAGAACTAATGGTTCAGAGCAGACTTATATAAGGAAGGTCTTTCAGTGCATATGCAGGAAAAACACTTTGGCCAGGGCTATCAGTGTATTACTTCTATGAATGATAAAATTCAGCCACAAAAGCAGAACAAAAAAAAAGCAGCTACTAGCCCTTATAAAAAAGAGGAAAAAAAAAAAAAAGAAAAAAGAAAAAGAAAATCTGCATTCTGTGGGATTTCACATTATTTTATAAAAGAAAACAAAATGCTTACTTTGTGTTTCTTCTCTGTTAGGTGCTTCTCCTTTGCTTTGTAAGGTCACCAGCATGAAATAAACCCCTTTCCTCTGCAAGAGTTCCTCGTGAGTTCCTCTCTCTACAGCCCTGCCGTGCTCAAACCCGACGATGACGTCGGCGGCTTTGATGGCTGACAGGCGGTGAGCGATGGAGATCGCTGTGCGGCCGAGGCGAGCCTGAGGAGACAACAACAGCCCCACTCCCAGCACAGCACACTGACATGCTGGCAAATGAGCACTGCAACCTAAAGGCTCGTCAAATTAACTGGAGTCCTTCTAGTGGGTTCAGCCCACTTTGACTTTAACTCCATCCACAGCCCACAGAGAAGCACCTGTTTCTGGGCGTTTCTGGGCAAAGGTTTCTGTTGATGTCCCAAGGTAAGTAAAAATTATTCTCAGTCCATAATACTAAGGTTCTACTTGTACCTATAAAACAGTTATTAAGAAATTCGTCTGACTGATTTGTTACAATTTAGGAGCACCCTCTGCAGAGTGCATTATAAATAACTTCTGCCCTTTCGAGTCTGATTTTTGCTATACTGTAGCAAACCTTATGAAGTGCTTCTTGGACAATTGCTTCACTTTCATTATCCAGTGCTGACGTAGCCATATCCAGGAGCAGGATTTTGGGGTTTCGCACCAAAGCTCGAGCAATAGCTATCCTCTGTTTTTGACCTCCACTCATCTGGCTTCCACCCTCTCCAACATGAGTGTCAAATTTCTGTGTGAAGGAAAAAAGATTAAAGAGGTAAGAAAAAAGCCTGTTAAGATCCTGGTGAAGGTATTGGGAAGATGTCTCAGATTTGTCCTTGGAGTAGACTTTAAACAAAAACATTGTTAATGCAGCAGTTTCAAAGAGCAACAGGTGAAATAACTTTCTCCATAATGTACAAAATCATTTTGCCTGAATCAGGTTTTCAACCCCATGCCAAAAGCATGCGCTGGTTAAAAAGGTGAGATGTTCTGGTTCAGCTTGAAACAGCTATATCAGCAGAAGCTGAAATGGAGAGGAATCACCCGCCCACTCTCCATCAGATGATTCACAAGCAAACTTTTCCTGGCCTTGTCTACTGATGACCTGTAACTCATGAACACTGTGTCTGTGATTCATGGATATCATACTCTGGCAGCACTGGGTTCAGGTAGACAATTAACACACAAAGCCTGGCATATTGAGAGGCAGGATCATTATATTCACTTAGAGCTAAATCTTTTTTATTCCTCCATTTCCATGAAATAAATAGGGGCCTTTGAACAGCCTTTCAGTGAATAGTTTCCTGGAAGCCTTGAAATGCATAGATGGAGGATAAAGACAATGTACTAATATTAGTTAATGGTACTTGAATCATGTCAATAACATTCACTGTTGTAACATGTCATTTTCAGAAGCTACTTGGCAAAATAATATTCTAGAAAAGTAGAGAGCTTGATACTACCCAATTTGGGCTTTGTAAGGAGGAATTATTGAAGCCCTGTCATCATCAGGGAAGAAACTGGAGAAGGAACCTCCAGCTGGCTTACAGAGCCTGTACAAGGAGGTGAGGTTGTGAGCATCAGTACGGATGAGTGAAGTAACAAATGCTAGCTAGTGAGAGGCTGAGCTCTACATTGCTTTTGGCCTGAACAGAAACAGATCTCCAAAACATGAAAAATACAACTTTTAAACCATGCTATGATTATTACCATGATATTGAATGTTGTGTAAATGGTTCCTGAAGAACTAATACTCAGGGTTGTATTTTGGGGTGGGGGTGGATGTTTGCTTTTATAACCTCATGGCATACATGTAGTAAGACCTAAATAACTATAGTCAAAGGAAAGGTTGTTGCCTATCTGTATTAATCTTCTGTCCGTCCACTTGAGCATAAATTGCTGCAGGCTAGGAGGGACAAAAGGACAAAAATATTCTTTTTTGCTTATCAAATACTGCCAAACATTTTCCAGGGCAGAGCATACCTGTGGTAAGTCCATGATGAAATTGTAAGCATTGGCCTGTTTGGCTGCTTTGATTATGTCTTCCATGGTAGCCTCGTCCCGCCCGTAGCGAATGTTCTCTGCAATCGTGGTGGCAAAGAGCACTGGTTCTTGTTCAACTATGCCAATTTGTGAGCGCAGCCACTGAATATTCAGGGAACGAATGTCATGGCCATCCAGGGTAATCTACAATTAGAACATGGACACAAAATCAGGAAAAAAATCAGGGACATTATGCCCTCCACTTCAGAGACAAAGAAAGACACAGTGGAATTGAAGGGCCTGTGATGCTGTGTTTCCATAACCAGCATAAAAATCAGCTTTCAGATACAGAAGGTGGCAAAGCAGTGGCAGTAGTGTTGGCTCTTGGAGTTGTGCTCTTTGATTTCCTTTCCCATTTCTGCTTGGCATCAGAAATAAAACCAGGTGAAAAGTAATCAGGAAAGTGATGATTATGTTATTTACAGTAATTTGTTTCTTTGTGTTTTATATATTCAAATACAGGTCAACATGTATGTGATTATATGTTCCTATTTGATATAGGAACACATAAATGGAAGGAGATTTTCAACAGCTATAATTCGTATTCTTAGCCAAGCCATTACTAAGTGGTAATTGCATATACTGAAGTGATATTATGGGTTAATGTTTAAATGTTCAATACGGTGCTTTCCAGAAAACATTTGTCACTCCTGAATTATCATTTCTATAGGTATAGTTTCTACACAGATTTAGTACTGAATTTTTATTTTCTCCTAACAGTTTGCTCTTTCACATAATTGTTTTTATAAGACTATTAAGCACAGTTTTATAAAAGAAATGTGCAGGAAGATATTTCACTAATTTAAAAAATAATTAGGAAAAAAAAAAAAGAAGAAGAAAGATATGAAAAGGAAATTAGTAGTCTTCCTTCCCACCTTGGAGAAGAAACCATGCCATTCTTTCAGTTTCTGGAGCCAGAGAAACACATTCTAGGCTGGGAAACTCACCATGCCATCAGTGGGGTCATAGAAACGCTGGATGAGCTGTATTGTTGTACTTTTCCCAGCTCCACTAGCTCCAACAAAAGCTGTTGTCTCTCCTGCTTTAATCACCATATTAAGGTTATCCAAAATCTGGATAGGAAAAAACCACCAAAAACAACAGAATCTATCTATTTTAATTCTCCCACAGTCATACAACCAAGTGAGTATATTCTGTACCTTACAGTAAAGATTCAAAGCAATTTTACAAAATTCAGAAAAGTATTATGAAGAAAGACGACAAAGCAAGCCACATATGTTTGCACTGTTTGAAGACTTTGTAGATGCAGAGCACTCATTTCTGCATCAGGCAGGCAGATTTTGACCTTTAATTGTTCCTGTTGTTCATCATTAAGAACTAGTCAAGTTAATACACTAGAGGAGTTATTAAATTATATTTCCTTTAAAGAACACTGTGTGTGTATTGTGAATGTATGCTACAGCATAAATATTAAGAAAGTAACCATGAAATTTTGTAGGAAAATCTGATACAACATGTGCTTCCATATTTAGAAGTAGTAGCACTAATGTGCTTGTCCAATAACATGCTTTTCCAAGGAGAATTTGTCAATTCAAACACAGGAGTAGAGAAATAGAGGGATATACAGCCTACACTCCATTCCTTTCCTAGCCTTTTAAAGGGTCACATGGTGCATCCCCAGGGTAATGGAAGAGTTTTATAAAATCTCCTTGCACCATTCAGTTTATTACTTTGTGTTCTATCTCACACACATGGATACAAGGGCATCACTGATTGCAAGAGAAGCTGTACACAGGTGAATTTGCCCAGAATTACTGGGAGTTTATGTTCAGCAGCAAGGAATATGCAGATGTGGCAGTGGATATGTCAGAATGGTAAAATAAGCCAAACAGTAAGCAGAAGAACACTTTAATGGAAGAATTATTCTGTCTACTTTTAAGCAAAGAGTCTGGGCTTCTGGAAGACAATCTCTATGGAAAATCTAGAAATTGATGGCAGAACCAGGATATTTTTCTTGTTTACAATAATTGTGTTCACAGGATGGGTGATGAATAATTACCTTTATGTCTGGTCTGGATGGATAATTGAATGTTACATTATGAAATTCAATTTCCCCTCGTACTTTATCCAGCTTGTAGCCATCTTCTGACATGCAGTCAATGGTGGGCTTCTAGGATGAAATTTATTGGGTTATTTATTTATTATGAAATTTATTTGGGTTATGTATTTATCTGCTGCTAAACAGTCACCAGTGATGCAGTAGATAAATACAGTACCATACAAAGCCATGGCACTTCTGTTTGAACAGCACTTGGCTGCATGGAGCCAGCTGCAGGCTCTGCCCCAGGGATAGCAGGCAAGGGACATGGAATTGAGGGCCAGAGTGATGGGGGAGTTGTCACTGGTGCGTAGCACAGACAAGGATGCACCCTCTTCTCATTGTAGGCTTACTGCAAATACCACAGCCAACCACTCAGGCAGTTTTTACTGGAACTGAGTAGCTGACTGACAGAGGCATTTTGGCTAAGCTAATTTAGCCAGCTCCTCAGGGATAATATGGCACTACCTCACTCAAAAACATCCTCTCACAGCGCCGAACAACCAATTCATTGCTGAAAATTTTCAGGTCTTGCCACTTGGCAATTAAAACATCCATCCTTGTGCACCCAGTTCTAAGAGCTGAAATACTGAAGTTTTCCTAGGAAGTGCTTTGGGTCTCCCATACTTTTGGCCAGGTCTTGGATATTGTGGACTGCTAGACATGAGAAAAGAACTAAAAGATATTTGAGGAATCACAAAGAAATAAGATTTTCTAAGGATAGATTTCTGAAGCATGGAATACAAGCAGTAAATTAAAACTATAGCAATGAATATTTGATAACTGAAATTTGCATGCTTTTTTAATATAGACTAACAGATTGAAAGGAAGGTTAAAATGAGAAATGTGTATGTTCTAAGATGTTAAAAACAGCTACAAGACTGGTTCCACTTCAGGAATATAACTTACTTAAATTCTGATACTGATCTATGAAGAAGTTTTACTGATCCTGCAAATGAGAATCTCAACAGGACTAGCTTTAGTGCCAGGGCAGAGCTGTGCTTGTACTGTCTAATCACAAATCTACAAATGTGGCAAGCAGATGGATCTAATTTTGTCACCCTTTCTGTAGATAGATGAAATGTGACGTTGGTTTGCTTTTTTCCTCTCAGATTATTTGACTCAGCCTTATCCTGAATATTGTGATTAATCGTTACTGTTAAAACTCTTTATCATTTTACATTTTTTCTCAGAAAACCACATCCCTAATTCATCTCTATTTTCAGTTCATTTTAGAGCTTTAGCTTATGAAGTGTATATGTTTTATCGTTATTGCAGAAATTTGAAAGGTTACTAAAAACTGTTAGCATTACCATAGCCTTATGTGCTCTGTAGAAGACAAGCAGCATTTTAATGTGTTTGCACAGCTTTCAGCACAATAAAGCTTGTCAGTGAACAGAGATAATACATACTTTAAGAAATCAACAGTACATTTCCAACCACTATATTTATAAAGCTATACAAAGGTATCAAGAAAGGAATCAACAAATTGGCATCTCAGGGTCTCTCATACAATTATTTCAAGTATCTGTTTAGATAATATTGTGATTAACATTTGTAACAGCTGCCTGACCAGTGCCTGTCCCATTTTTGCTCAGGGTAGCTCTGGGACAGGTGACAGAGGCCACCTTCACCGCTAATGCCAACAGAGCCACAGCTTTTGATGCCATCTGGAGGCTGGGAGCTATGGGATGGTTGCTGCAAGTTTGGTTGCAGAGTGGCTATTACTGCCTGCCAGTACATCTTCCACAGGCCAGCACTGATAAGGAGAAATGGGGACAAGGAACAGCAGCAGCTGAGGTGAAGCTTCAGAACTCAGAACCAGGCCACTTAAGAAATCTGTTCAATGTGTTTTTTGAGCCCATGTGCACCCCACTGGACTTTTCTATTGCACAGTCACTTTTTCTTTAATCAGATTCCTTTTTCCTCATTTACACTGCAGATAAAACTAGTACCACTTCACGCTTATTTAATTTTTTTTTTGCACTAGAAAGTAACACAGTTTAGAAATGCATTACTTACTTTATCTATTGTCTCAAAAATGTTTGTTGCAGCCCCACGACCAGTGGCAAAGGCTTCCAGACAGGGAGATGCCTGGCCAAGATTTAATGCTCCTATTAAAACACCAAAGAAAACCTGAAGAAGTGGAAAAAGAAGTTAACAAAATATGACATCACATTTTTATTATAGCTTACAGCTTAGACAAGCAAACCCAACTACAATAGCTTTATGACTTCTCGTGCATCTGCTGAACTGAAGTGATTCACTACGTGAGCATTATTAGCCAACAAGAAAGCAAATAAATGCATTTCAGAAGGCATTTTTGCTGTCTTTCACAGCTCTGCTTGAGGCTGAAGTAAAACAACTCGTATTTGTCTTTGCCTAAAAAAGTATGCATCTAGGTATTTACTGAGATGGCAGTGATGTATTTTAAGCCATCTCAGTTTGACTGGGTGCCTTTTCCTTGAAACAAGGTCTGGAATAGGACATTGGTGGGACATAGATTATTTCAGGGATGCCTTTTACCAGTAAGGAAAAATAGAAAGAAGCTTAAAACACTGTATTACAATCTTTGTATATTGCAGTTCATGTCTCATCCAATACACACAAAGCTTACTTTTGAAGGAAGTACCAGCTATAGAGAATATTTTTTCTCTGTCTTACAAAGAAATGAACTGTAAGAGTTGCTACCAACACTGGATAAGCCACTTGGGAAGGCAATACTTAGTATATCTCAATGCACTATGGGAGGTGTATGACTTTTTGAGAGAGCAGGAAAAGCATATTTCAATGTTTTGTATCTAAAAATTCCCCCTCCTCCCCTCTGCCAAACTAGGAGTGTACGGTAGAAAAGATGAAGTAGAAGAAAATGACTGGAAGCTGTGAGGAAGGGCATAAAGGAGACTCTCTCCATTGACAGCTACAGTTTTTCAGCTCAGGGTAGCTCCCCACTGTTTGCCATTTGTCATTTGGAAGTACTGGACTATAGTTACTGTGAGCAAGGCAAAGAAATTGCTCACTTTGTTTTTCACAGCACTACCTCATATCAACTATGGGTATTGAGAACAGGTGCAAATGTTTTCCTCCTTGAACAGAATGACTCAGGTTTACAATGTTCTCAGAGTAATTTGCCAAGTTCCATTTAGCAGGAAGCTTTGCACTGTGTGCAGCAGGTGGCTGGGAACTCTCATGGTGTGCAACAGGCAGAGAAGGTGCAAAAGTAGATGTCTCATCAGAATACCCAGAACTTACTAAGGTTCAGGAAAAGTTGTTCTGAGTTTGGACTGGAGTCTGCCATTTGGGCAGTCCTGGCTTAAGCAACTAGCCAAAATACCTGTAGATGTTGGCTTTGTTGCATTGAGGCCAAAAGTGTCTAAAGCACCTACTATGCAGAAGTGAATGCACGAGTGCCATGCAGGTTAATGTAGTTTTTGTACACACTGCAGCAGCCACAGCCAGGTGTGTTTTGATCTGCATACATGTTTACATGGCCTTTGTAAAAACAAAACAACAAGAAATGGTTTCTCGAACACAAAAGTGTTCATGAGAAATTAGATGTGACAAGACTTTCTTTAGTTAGATGTCTCTTTACCACAACATTTTTCATCATAAAATTCTTCAGAAAAGCCAAGATCCCAGAAGCCCCATGCTGATCCACAAAATGGAAAAGCTAGTTTCAGGCTTCTGACAATTGTGTGGGCTGTCAAATGAAGGCATTATTCTGATAACCATAGGTAAAATTCAAAATACTTAAAATAAACATAGAGGTTTTTTTTTTTTTGTCTTATCCAGTTGTGTCATACATATAGTGAGTAATGATCTTCAAAAGACATAAATAATTTTTGTTACCATGGAGCCACCAGATACCAGAACAGATATGTGTTCCAGAATTATTATTTTAAAGAACAGTCCAGAAAAGTTGCATCAAGCTAAAATGAGTACCTGCAGAAGAGTGCCAGGTGAATATTCTTCTTCCTCAAGGACAAGTTTAGAACCATACCAAAAGGCTAATGCATAACTTAGAAAAATTATAAACCACATGTAACCACTGAATAATCCCATTATCATTCCTTTTCGAATTCCCCAGTGCTGAGCAAATACCAAGTTTTTATCATATCTGTAGAAAGAGAGGAAAATAAGAGGGAATTAAGTAAATTTGACAGAAATTTCAAAATGAGCAAAGATCATATGAGGCACCTTTGATGACTCAGCAGAATGTCCACATATAGGGTTGATACAGAATCATTCTGAAGTGAGAGAGCACTGCTGAAACCAGAAATGCTCCCAGATCATTAAATCCTTTTATGTTCTTGTGTAATAAGCACAAGAAAAGCCACACTCATTGCCAATACCTCATCATGGGGTTTGGAGTTTTAGCAGATTAACACAGGATTTGAGAATCTGGCCAACACTCCAGAGCACATCCTACAGCCATATTATCTTTTCATAGAACTTAAGAGAAATTTGCAGAAGAAAAACCTGATGTTTTTCTAATGAAAAGTGATGTCATGATTGAATGTCATCATGAGGATGTCCTGATGAAACTAATTCTCCTACTTAGCTTGAAATACTCAAAGTTTTCAGAAATGCTGCAAAAGTGATATATCAGACAGGGTTTAAAGAAAAAATTGACAGAATGTTCCTACAAGTAAGCATGAAATGAAGATAGTATTGCTGATGCTTTATTTCACTGATAGACTGAATTATCAAACTAGTTCTGCATAAATTTCTTGAAACCTAAATTTCTGAAACATACATGCATTTAAGTTTCAAAGCTACCAGATAGTCATAGTTGTAGAATATAGAGATTAATTGTTATGAATCTGATGTGCATTACAGCATTGCATCACTTCAGGAAATAGAAATCAGAGACCTTAGAGTTTGCTCAAACAAACCTTTCAACTTCTTTCTTCTCCCCACCAAAAGCAGCCACTGTTCTGATGGATGAGAGCACTTCGTCTGCCACAGCTCCAGCTTTTGCATAAGCCTTTAATTCTCGGCCTGTTAGTTTTGCCACAGCCTACAAAAGCATAAGCAGTGCTGGTTACACCTGAATTTCAGGTACAGAAAAGTACAGAGATGAGCAATGCTGGCTACTCTGCGCTGGGTGCTCTGCACTGGGTCACCTCCTGCACTCCAAGCAGGCTTTTATTAGGCATGCTGCACACTTGAAGACTTAGGCCTTCTAGTGCCAGGGCATACACCTTTGTAGCATATGTTTAGCAACAGCTCTGCTCCAAGTAGCTGGAAAGAGCAGCTGACAACTCCTGCTTTCCCTGCCTCCCTCCCTCCCTCTCTCTGTTCTAACTAGGCTGAAGCAGATTGCACACTGAGGGTTTGTGCACTGTGGGAGGAAGAGGGAGCTTAAGCACCAGGAGCAGCCCTTTAACCACCGTGGCAGATCCCGACTTCAGGAAGAAGAGGTAACTGTAGTGGTGGGGGAGGATAAAAACAGATGTTGGCACCACTGTGCTTTGTGGGCTGATAGCAAACAGGTCCCTACACAGCAACCAAGAGCTCATTGGATACCAAAAGCTTACTTAGACTCAAAAAAATGGTCAAATTAATGGAAGAAAATGTAGTAATTTACAATTCTACACAGAGATACTACATTGACTTGGGAATGAGATATCATTAGAAAGTGTAATGTGTCAGTTTTTCCTTTCTCTTTCCAAATACCCTACTCCTTGCATCTATTAGTCCTTTTTGAAGACAGGAAAGCAGGCCAGATTGACTTTGGGTCTATTTTCTTCATGGTGTAAAACAAAGACTTGGGCTGGAAAGGCTCATAATGAGGAAAAACTTAAAAGTAGGTGTGTGACTGGAAAGAGATGGGTAAAGTAAGAATGTAAAGGGAGAAAAATAAAAACATAAGGGGGAATAAGGTGGAAGAAAAGAAGGAAAAACATTTTGGCTTTTATTTCATTCCCTGCCAAGCTTCTGCTCTTCCACTTCACATGAGTCATTATTCATATCAGCTACTTGCAGTCATCACAAGGTGCTAAAGGAGAACTGGAGGACAAGAAATTAGTCACAGTTACATTAGATATTTGATAGCAAAATGATAGCAAGCTGTTCCTGATGTGAAAGAAATGAGATTCCAAAGGACTGAACCCAACAAGAATGAAGAGGATGAGCAGGAATTACCCAGCCCTGCTGAGTGTGGGAGAGGAGAGGAGAGGGCAGAGGATCCTGCAGTTTCCCTTTTCACTGTCCTTTGGACAGTGACAGGAAGTTCATAGGAAGTGGGTGGAGAAGCAGAACAGAACAACTGGAGAAGGTGCAGCAGCTTCTGGGAGCAGGGACAGTTTGAGGTAAGTTTGAGTAGTTGTTTTCAACCATTTTATGTCTCTGAAACTTAGCACCCATAAAAGTCACTCATTTACATAGAGCAATCATGTTCTGTATCTTGTAGCCATCTAAAGCAGGTGTGTAGTAATTGAGAAAGGTAAAGGCCAGCTTCTGATCTCAGCATTAATACCCATCCACAGGACCCACAAGAAGGTAAACTTACACTCCCCTCTTAGAAGCAGGATTTATTATTCTGGGAATCAATAAAAAACAAAGTGAAAGCAAAGCCCACCTCCCCTCTCCCACAATCCTCCCTCCATCCCTCCCCTCTCCCTCAGTGCTACTGGGACCATAATCTGTCTCTCTTGACTTTAAAGGGGCGTAATCAACTTCACCAATCCTCACAGTTTTCTGGCCAGATCTTTCCTGTTCATTATTGCTCAATGTGAACCTTTCACAATTCACTTACCAAGCCATAGAGAGCTGCTCCAACCCCAAGCAGAGGGCTGACTGCAATGATAACCAAGGTCAGTTTCCAGCCACTGACAAATCCCAGTAGGAACCCACCTACAAAGGTGGTTATGCGCTGGATGAAGATTGCTACTTGATCAGCAATAGCCTCATTAATTTTGTTAACATCACTGGAAAACAACAACAACAGCAACAAAAATCAACAGAAGAGCTGTGAGCATAACTTTTGTTTGTGTTGTGGGTCTCTTGGCCACATTTGGGTTAGTTGCTTTTCACTGGAGAGGGCCCATCCTCATCCCTATTCTTTCACCATTACCCCATATAAAGACCTTGGAGTACAATCAGAAAACCTAATGCCTTCATAATGGAGAAGCCTTTTAGGCATGAATATTGCACAGAATATCCTTTCTCAGGACATGTTCTGGCAGCAGACTGATACACTAGCTGGCTCTTACTACTGTGCCCCAGCTGATTCAGGAAGTATGCACTGGTAGCCAAATTACAGATCACTCTGAAAGGACTGGGCACAAAAGGAAAAGAGAGGAGAGGACAAACTGGGGAAAAAAAAAAAAAAAAAACCCCCCCAAAACCCATCTAGCCCCCCCCCCACCCACACACACACAAATTTGCTGTCAGACAAGGCATGAAATGGAAATAATTGTGGTTCAACAGTTATGGTACTTAGTTCAAAGATGGGAGAGCTAATCAGTCTGGTTGCTGTTTCCACGAACATAGCTGTTTTTCTACTAAAAGGTGTTTGTCACATGCCTGATTGTTTGCATTCTGCAGTGTTTGGAAGGAATTGAAAAATTTTTTCTGTAGCATATGGGCTTCTTAGATTACTTACTCAGAAATTCGGGTGTTCAGTTCTCCTACAGATGTACAGTCAAACCAGCCTATATCCATTCGCATTATTTTCCTGAAATAAGCTTTCCTGATTTTCTGTATCTGACGAGCTGCAGACATAACCCAAAAGCAGATCTGGGAAAAGCACAAAACAGCTGATAATTGCAGTAAAAAGTCTTTCTACTCCCAACAAATCAGAAAAAACAATTTGGCTAGAATGGGAAAGGCTATTGGTAAAATTACTATTCAGGTAAAATACATTCTGGCTACATAGCTGTTTTGATCTTCAAATAATCCAACAATTTTGTATAGCCTCTGGATCAGGCATTTGTCTCAGTTCAGATAAGATGGGAGGAGAGGCAAGTGAAATTACTTATGCTGTTACATGAATGCCATATGGACAACATTTTTTCCATCTACAAATGTAAGTAATACAGGGATGGCAGCCATCCTACCTCTGCAAAATTCTTGGATAGTTTTGAGGAAGGAGATTGAAAAGCAATTTTTGCGATTATAAAAAGCTTCAAAAGCCATGGGCCCTTCAGCAAACTATGCAGGGATCATCCAAGCTTTTGACTCACATCATAAGGACTGAACAATTACTACGGAATATGTAGGGTACAATTCTTCTCCAACATTAGTTTTACACTAGTATTACTCTGTAATATCTCTGTAACAGAAATAGGGCTCAACACAGTTGAGATGCCTACTGGGAATGTGCATGCCCTTCAGCTGTTATTTTTGGAGGGCATGTGGATTCCATAGTAGCCACACTTGATGAAGTATTGCTTGTGGTGTGGGTAAAATGCATCCTTTTACAAAGGTATGCATGTGCAAATCCAAAGAGCTCTCAGATTGCCACAGCTAACATATTTCAGCAATGGAATGAGAACTGAAAGCATCTGTTCTGCTCAAATAAGTAGTAGTAACATAATTATAAACTTAATTATTTAGTGATTTAAACTTTGAAATCAAAATGGAAAACAAAATACTGACTTGGAGGTATCCTAACACAAGTATGGCACAACCAATTCCTGCATAGTAACCTGCAAACTTGGTCATTTCATATTCAATATCCAGCAGCCTGAAAAAAGAAAAAGGAAAAAAAAAGAAAAAAGTAGTGAGTAATACTTTTTAAAGTTTCTCACAGGTTTCTAATCTGATCCTCAAGTTAGATTCAGCCCAGGTGGAAGTCAGCTTGTTTTGCTAACAGAGGCATTGTCTCCCAATACCGAGGCTATTGCTAGTGGCTGATTTCCTTGTTCTGGCTGTTCACAGGGGTTGGGAGCTGGCAGCTACCAAAAAACGCCCTACCATCCCACAGCACCCCTGATGTCTCCAGGAAATGCCCCCAGACTGCCTGCTCCAAAACAGCACAGGTGAGAGGGTGCTTCAAAGAGCTGCCCACCAAGTTTTCATTAGATGTTGAATGTGCTTGCTTCGTGCCATTAGAGCAACTAGTAACATTCAGATTTGAACTGCATTTTATAGGGAGAAGTGAGGGCTGCTAAAGTCAAATAAAATATTACTTTGTACCATAAACTTGCTAACCTAAAAGGATAACTTCTTCTGTTACACAAGTAGTAGTGATAATTACTCCTAGAATCAGTGAAGGCCACTGAATTGCTGCTTTTGCATTTAATCTACTTTGAAATAGGTCGTTATGGGTTATGCATTTAGATAACTTTTTAAAAAACATCCTGCAGGACAGCAAATTTTACTTGATTTACCCAAAATTTTGTACCCTGAAATTTTAAGCCACAAGGGAACGCTCTGCACCTGACTAGATCTCTGACAAAAAACAAGCATGGAAACAACTTAGGTTGTTAACCTAAGTTATCTGACACAGATATCCACAACAATTTTACAGAATAATTAGGATCGTGGAGCAGATCCTCCTAGGAACCGTGCCAAGGTACATGATAAATGAGGTGACTGGTGACAGCCAATGTGACTTCACTAAGGGCAACTCATGCTGGACAAATTTAGTGGCATTTTTTATCAGAATTACAGCATTGATGGATGAGGGAAGGGTGACTGACATCATCTACTAACTGGATTTGTGCAAAGCATTTGATACTATCCTGCATGACATCCTTGTCTCTAAACTGGAGAGAGATGGTGGATGGACCACTTGGTGGATAAGGAAATGACTGGATGGTTGCACTCAAAGAGTTGCAGTCAAGGGCTCAATGTCCAAATAGAGACCAGTAGCAGATGATGTTTCTCAAGGGTTGTTATTGGGACCAGTGCTGTTTCACATCTTTGTCAATGACAAAGAGGACAGTGGGTTTGAGTGCACCCTCAGCAGGTTTGCTGATGACACCAAGCTGTGTGGTGCAGTTGACACGCTGGAGAGAAGGGATGCCATCCAGAGGGATTTTGATAGGCTTGAGAGGTGGGACTGTGTGAACTCAACAAGGTGAAATTCAACAAGGCCAAGGGCAAAGTCCTGCACCTCAGTTGGAGCAATCCCAAGCACAAACACGGGCTGGCTGAAGAATGGATTGTGAGAAGGCCTGGGGAGACAACTGGGGATGTTGGTGGACAAAGTTTAACGTGACTTAGCAATGTGTGCTCTCAGCCTAGAAAGCCAACCATGTCCTGGGCTGTATCCAGAGCAGTGTGGCCAGCAGATCAAAGGAGGGGACTTTGCCTTTCTACTCTGCTCTGGTGACACCTGGAGAGCTGCATCCAGCTCTGGGGGCCCCAACATAAGGGGGACATGGACCTGCTGGAGCAAGTCCATGAAGGCCATGAAGATGATGAGTGGGCTGGAGCAGGCTGAGAGAGTTGGGTTTGTTCGGCCTAGAGAAAGAAAGCTATGGGGAGACCTAAGAGAACCTTCCAGTACACTAAGGGAGTTTACAAGAAAGCAGGAGAGAGACGTTTTACCTGGGCATGGAGGGAAATGGCTTTAAACTGTACAAGAGCAGCTTTAGGTTATAAAGAAATTCTTCACTGTGAGGATGGTGAGACACTAATACAGGTTACCCAGAGAAGTTGTGGATTCTTCATCCATGGAATTGTTCAAGGACAGTTTGAATAAGGCTTTGAGCAACCTCATCTAGTGGAAGGTGTCCCTGTCCATAGCAAGGGGATTGAACTAGGGGATGATCCCTAAAGTCCCTTCTAACTCAAACTTCTACGGTCTGTAGTTGCTGCTTCAGAGGTACAGAGGTCAATAGTAAATCCTGTATGCTATCTGCCAGCCCATCTCCAAAGGCTGGTTTGGATAGCCTGGAGCAAAATAATTTGTCCCTAGTCACCTACATCTAAGAATATGAATAGCTTTCCATGTGCCCTGAATTTCAGAGACCTTTAGACAAGTAACTTTTAATTCCAATTAAGTATGTAATGAAATGTCACTCAGAGATTAGAAAACTTTTGTAATGATGCATCAAGAAATGATTCTTAGGAAAGGTTACAGGTTCAGATCTGGCCTTTACAGATATCTGTATCTGAATGAATTATCTAGACTACATTTATTATATGTAATGGAAAGAAACAGCCAGTCTTATGGGGCAGTTCTTTTGACCTGCCTCAGACATCCCCCATAAGCTAAGATGAATTGCATTCTAGAAATGCTCATTTCTCTCAGTGACAAAAGTTTAGCTAACTTGCTCAGAAGTCAGCAGGAACCTACAGGTAGCTAAGTCCTGGCCAGAATGACCAGAAGTCATTACTACCTACAGTGTAATCACAGAAAATAGATTAATGAACTCAGATATGTAATATATGTATCTGTTATCCGAACAATCAGAATCAAAAAATATTCTTGCAGACAACTGTAACTGAAAAACCAAGATCCCAGCTGACCTTCTGTCCCTCCAGATAATATCACCATCTCAGAAACAGGACTATGTAACAAGAACCATGCCTCTTTTCTACCTTATGAACAGAAAATTTAACATTTAGAGGCTGAACAGGACCTTCAATAGCAATGCATTCTCTGACAAGCTATGATAACAATGGGATATGAAAACAATGATAACATCCATACTTACCCACATCTTATTGTGGCATTCTTTTCATTCTGATGAATAGTACCATTAATCCACACTATGGTGTTATTTACACATGTCTTGTTTGGGTCTTTAAGCTCTTGCATTTCAATGTCATATTCGATAAATGTGTCTGCCATTGCACCAAACACAAGCAACACAGCTGGTTGGGCTACTCCATGAACAATAGCACACAAACTACCAGCAACCATCATTAAAATCTCCATAGATGATGAAAATCGAAACTAAAGAAGAAAGAAAAAAATATGATCTTTGCTGAGAGGCAGTCTTCATACTGGTGGTGTAACGATAAATCATTAACTAGGTGGATCAGATTAAAAAAAATTCTCTTTACATTTCATAATTATCTTCAGTATAGAAAGAAGACAAATCTCTCTGTCCAATCTAATCTAATTACATCTGTGATTACAGCCTCATAAATTATTACAAGCTTCCTTTTAACATGTGAATGAATGTATTATCAGATAACATTAATAGCTCAATATCATTCTGCATTACCATCATTCCAGAAACTAGGATTAAGAATAGTAATGGTAATTCATATCTACAGTCTGCTTTGCAGACTTCCAGTGGAGAGAGTGGGAGGGGAGGAAAAAGCCTTAGGGCATTATGTACAGCCTCTGAATAGAGTTAGCCAATTTCTCAAAAGTCTGCAGTGCTGTGGTAGGAAACCAACTAAACATCTCAGAGCAAGTTTTCATAGCTAAAATTCTAAAATGCTTTGGCTGAGCCAGGCAGTTGTGAATTGGCTCTTAATCTGAGAGAAATGTGTAGAAAAGAGTTTTCACACAGGTAGCTTGGCAAAGATACAGTGATTTAAGTTGCCTTTGTCATGATTGTATGAAATCTGATTCTCAGTGTGAAGTCAGGTGCAAATATATAAATTAAACTGTCCATATAGAATATCAGTATCAAATGCTATACATTTTAAAACAGACGTGTCAAGAGGAATCATAGCCTGCTGAAGAACCTATCCAGGTTCTGTAGGTGCTATAATGTGTCCTAGAGAAGAAAGGGTGGGAATTTACAGCATATATGGAAGGGACATTAGGGCAAATACAATAGAAAGGAAAAACCAGTTAACACAAAAGATAAATAAATAAAACATCCTTCTTAAAAAAAGTCAGAAGAAAACTGTAACTCCACCACTGTTTTACAAACCTTGCTCATAAGAATCCTGGGAATACACTTGATTTTAAAAAAGGCACACAGAAAGTGCACAGATATGTGATATCTGATCTCGCAGCACATCTGAAGCAAATATACTGTATTTACCAACTGCACTTCAGGAGTTAAATATCTGTGCAAAAGAAGCTACAGAATTCAAACCTGTCTGCTTGCCCTGTGTGGGGACAGACTGTTCTCTCCACCCATCCAGGAGCTGAGATACTTAGCCAGGTACATCGCAAGGGATGTTACTGCACCAGCCTGCTGTTACAGTCAGGACCATCCTCGTTTGGACACATTACAGACTAACTGGCTGGGCTGTGTGCATAGCAGGAGTAGTAAAATCTCTTAGCTGCATGCTGCCGGGTTGGATACTTCTTGACTATATTTATTTTAAAATTTAGATGAACCCAATGGAATTGCATCAAAGGCTAGATGTAGCTCACAATACCATATGGTATTGTGCATCCACAAGTTCCCATTGCAACCAAATCTTCTAAAACCCATGGAACAATTATGAGGGAGCTAAATTATCTGCCAAATATTACAGAGAAAATTTTTGGCAGAAAAAAGAACAAACCAAGGTCACCTAAATCCCTGCTATGCAACTTACCTCATTTCCATATACGTACCTGTAGCTTAAATATAATGTGTTTAATAGACTTTTTGGACACCAAACTGACAAGATGACAAGGGGTTCTAGTGAATTCCCACTGAATTTTATTGGTATGATTTCAGGCCAAAAGATTTAATCCTTAAAAGTTCAGCTTAGTTACAGCTATACCCCAAAACAACCTTATTGGTTATTGTCATTTATTCTGCAACACAATACACATCAAATATTTATAGACATTGCTTTCATTACCAGCTGAAAGAAGCCAACATGAACACTCTTTTCTTTCTTCTTGGACGACCTTCAACAACAGAAAACATAAAATTATGAACTTGTACTTTAATACTTATTTTGTTTTATATGCTAAGTATAAAGAATTGAACTTAACTCACTTTTCACTTTTCTTCTCTATAAAAGGTTCTTCATATGCACAGAAATTTCTGGCAAAAAGGATAAGATTTTACATTATTACTTTTACTCCCTTGGTTGCTTCTCTTAAATTACATTTTACTTGAGACATTTTGCCCAGAATTTTAAGAGACAAGCTGTTTCTCTCAGATTTCTCTGGAACCAGTGATTTGATGGTTGAAATTTTAGACAGAGACTAGAATGGAGGTTAGGTTAAAATTCTCTAAAGGTTTATACTTTGTTCCATAAGCAGCTCCTCAACACACTGTTCCTATAATGTGGATTGTGGGTTCTTTGAGGTCAGCTAAAGAAAAACCTACTGGCCAAATTGTTGGTTAATCCTTCCTTTAAGACAGAGAAGGTTCCTGTTCCCATAGCAAGGAATCATCATCAGCTGTGTTCATTCAGTGATGAATTCTGTTTGTGGTGGGTTTGGTTTTTAATGAAGCAAACTATTCAAGCTATATTTGTCATAAACTGTTTTCAGAAACCAGATCCCAGGAAGCCTAAAGGAAGCTTTCCTTCAGGTATGTATGGATCACATGCATGTTAGATGTGAAAGTCCAGCTGGGGTTTCAAGGTGGAAAGATGTGGTACTCTTCCACCTTGAAACCACCTTTCCAGATAGTGGGCTGGTGCTGTCTTAGATGGGCAACCTGACAATGGGAAAAATGAAGAGATACTCTGGTTTCCCTGTTCTAGAGGTAGCTCCCACACTGAGTACACAGTGTCAGAAAGAGATGGCTCAAATTATAGTATTGTTACGGTCCAGCCTGCTACAGAGTTGTCCAAAGGTCTAGGAAGGAGGATGCTCTTAATTCCAATCAGACCTTTAATAACAGCTGAAGGTCAAATTCTCTAAATCATCCCAAATTTTAACTATCCAGAATTCTACACTGAAATCTTAGTATCTGAGACCTTTTGTTTTAAAATCTCACAGTTAAGCTTTAAGAGAAATTAATCAAGGCTGATTAAAATTCCCGAAAAAGTGATTTTTCAAACTAAAAACACTGAAGAAGGATAAATTTGAGTATCAAAAACATTTTCAGAAGGAAGATCATATTGCTGGCATTTTTGTTTTTTAAAGTTTCTAGGACTGCTTTGGTCTACCTGTTTCAGTTGTATCAAATAAGGAGGTTCAACCACTAGAGAACAGCTTTTTTAAAAAAATAAATATTCCATCAATTTGATCCGATAGCATTAACTTCTTTGAATATTCCTAAAAATATTGATTGCTCCAATCATGTGCATGACTTACTCTGATTTCTTGAAGCTGTTACCTGCAAGGGAAAATAAAAGCACAGTCTAGGTTAATAATTATTGTTAAAGTACATAACCTTCTGTAGACATGTGAAATATAAACTCTAGAACTCCATGGGACCTGATCATTCCTGAGTTATAAACATCTTATCCTCACTAAGACATATAGCCAGGATGTGGTTTAAACTAAGAACATTATTCAGAACATTTGCCAAAATTTTCATTGCCAACTGTTTGCTAATATTCAAATAGTTGTCTTGGACACTGCCTCCTTAAGGATACTCAGCTAATGCTCACTCCATACATGCTCCCTGAAAGGAGTGGTAGCTCTTCACTCTTGTCTTCACAACTTAGAGCCTGCAAATCCTGTGGAAGATGAGCAGTTGTGGTCTTGGAGGGTAGGATTAACTTTCCACACTGATGTCTGCTCTTGAGATATTGTTTAAGGAACCATAGCTTAGAGAAATGGAATCATACTACAAGATATAAATAAGTTGTAGGACAATTCCTTCGTTCTTAGAAAAGGTCTGGATTTAGCCCCCTTTCAAAAGATGTTGTGAAAGACATAATAAAGCACAGCTTGTGTTATCAGGGGCCCCAAAGAAACGTAATCTGAAGGTCTGATGTAGAAAATATTTGTTGTACATCACTTGAGATGACAATGAATAAAGAGTTAGTTTTATTTTTTTTAAACATTTATTTATTTATTTTTACTTTTCTTTTTTTTTTTTTTTTTTGGATAACATAAGGGCACTGAGCATATGTACTTTGCTCAATTACAGTGCATTTGCCAGTTCAACATTAAGTTCAGAACCATAGTTTGCATTTCAAGAACTGCCTTCCTTTCTTCACGTCTAGAGACTCATCACTGAGCATGCACAGGGCTGTTTCACACAGCAGTCACAGAGGAAGTTTGCACCACAATTCACAGAGGATACAAAGAAGTCATTGCAAACACAAATTTTGCCTCTACCCAGGGGAAGAAGGCTTTTCCATTACCTCCAGGGTTTTGCATTTCTCAGGAATACAATGTTAGATGGAAACAGTCTGAGTTTGGGACTGAGAGAACAGCTGAGGCATTTCCTTTTTAGGGTTAATAAGATAACTTTATTTGGCTTTAGTTAACAATTACTGTAGTGGTTGTATATTGCTCTCTTCTACTTTGGGATGGTAAAAAAAATATTATTTCAGTAAGGACACATATATCCCAAGAATCCCAGACATTTTCCAGGACAGTTCTAATTTGTGAAACTGTTATTACAAAGGGTCATTTGGTTAGAAAACCTTTCTTTTGTGAAGAAAGAAGATATCTGGTTATTTGAAGTTTGGCAGCAGGTAACAACAGTAGTGTTTTGAAACCATTTCTGGAGGATTCTTTAAGATTTATCAGAAAAGTCAAGGTTTAGAGAAAGCTCCTTCTATAGGCTGGTAAAGCAAAGTGTTTTGCAAGAAATAAATTAAATGACTAGTGGAAGGAAAATGGGAGAAACAACAGCCAAGTGTAAAAGCTCTCTGAGCCATGAATTTAGAGAGCAAAACAAGCACTCTCCAAATGTGAAAAATCCATAATCTATGAATTTGAAAAGGGAAACAAGAGCGTACCAATGCTATTCAATAGTGCAAGAAATTGCAGGCCAGCTCCTGTGGGCCAGCAGTTTTTAGGTCAAGAATTTATAAGAGAAGAATGTGGAATTATGTTAATTTGAAAGAAAAAAGTAGATGAATAACAGCTGTGTGTACTGAAAAAGTAGAAAAAGAGGACATAGCATGTTCACAGAAAAGACTGTAGGGAAGATAAAAGAATTTATTAACCCAAAAGGAAAAAAGCCATAGTTATCTTTGAATGCCCAAAAAAAATTCTGAAAGAGGAATTAAGGCATTTAAGAAAGAAATTTTACAATTTGGAAAAACAAAAACAAAAAAGCAGCAGAGACTCAATGAAAAGATGAAAAATACTGGCAAGAATTTTAGTGTTTACTGTTAAAGTGAGAACACACAAGGAGGAAGTTCCATGAGAGTCAAGTGATGAAAAATTGTACTCAAAAAGTTCTCAAATAAATCTGTCTCTTAACTACACTTCCATGTGTGGTGTTCAAGGGTTGATCCAGAGAGGGTTAATCATAACTAATTTGCACAAAATGTGGTTATCGAAGCAAGCCCCACTGGAGATGAGATCTATCAGCAGAATCCCAGTGGGGTTTTAAAGCTTTATCTGCTTTGGGAATGGTGTTCTAGCAGTTTAACAACCTTCTCCTTACATTAAGCAGAAAACAGGGCATATTTCCAAGGAAACCAAGAAACCAGAGGCAACCTCACTTGACAGCCCAAAAGAACAACCCAGCTGTCAAAAGAAGAACGGTCTTTTGCCAGTAGATAGCCTTTTGCCAAAATCTCCTAACAAGCAAAAGCAACAAGTGTGTAAAACAAACAGGCAGACAAAGAACAACTCCTCAAACCAGCAAGATAAGTCTAAGCAACATGGGAGTTCAAAGTAAGTGTCTGGAAGAGATGAACAGTTTTCTGTCCCAGAAGTTGGCCAAATCCCATTCATCTGTATTGCAATTTAGCTTCCATTAGGAATTATTGTTTTGCTTTCCTTTGCACTTTATGATCTGTATAAATATTTAACATCCTCTATTTTTTTTTTGCTTTCCTCAGGTCTTACAAAAAGAACTCAAAATATTTAGCAGTTTCTCTTCATGTTTCTCCTTGACTCTTTTTGCATTTCAACTGACAAAATGGAAAAATGCATATTGCAAAGGAAAAATGGGAAAAAAATACAAGCTCTGATAAGAGGTAATGCAGATCTTAGCATTAGCTAAGATCTTAGAATTAGCTCATAAGAATTCTGCCGAATACATGTATGACTAGAAATATGAGTGTTTGCTGAAAGAAACTGTGTAAGATAGCACTTTTTACTTTTTTTCTTCAATAGAACCCTTTTACTTGTACAACAAAATATTGAGTGTAAAAACATATGTAGATACTTGTTAATTTACCCATAAAGGTTGCCCATGAGTAGAGATTATTATAATTTTTACAGAAAAGTTTTGGGAACAGTATGCTATTGACAGCAGGTAGCATAATACACTATTTATTCCACAGACTACTTGCTTGTATTCTGAACACTACTTCCTTTGCTTAGGCCACCCACCACCTATTCTACATGCTTCACAACATAAGGAGGTGATTGAAGAATAAAGTTCTTACATTTGCCATCCGAGTCAAAAGCATAATTATCCTCTCCCAGTCTCTTGATGCTACGCAGAACTACTGGGTCAGACATGATGATTATTGACTTCAGTCAAAAGTCCTGAAAAGAGATGGGGTGTGGGGTTGGGGAGAAGAGTATCAGCTTACATTTGTCTGCGAACATGAAAACATTATGTTATACTCCCCCTTTGCCCTCATGATCCCAGGACAACACCACTGATTACAGCACAAGTTGTAACAGGACAGATGTCACGGACTCAGTGAAACCACAGTGTAGAAAAGCACCTTGGAAAGTGCCCAACCCACCCCTGCCAGGCCTCTGAGGCTTCGCTGCCTCCTGCCTCGAGCGGAGGCCGCCCTGCAGGGCTTGGCAGCTCCTGGCAAACAGCCCTGTCCCCAGGCATGGCTCTGCTGAACTGAACTACTGCCTCTGGGAGGGTGGCATCTGGGAGGGTAGCTTAGAGACTGAGACCACAACAGGACAGATCCTGCCTCAGTCACAAGGGAGCAGCAGGACCTGCCCCTGCTTTGTGCTGTCCCAACTGGCAACAGCTGGGAGAACCATGACAGGGGACAACTGGGGCTCAAGAAGGGAGAACAGTGAGAGCCCCAGGGCCACACTGACATCTGCATCATCACCACCTGCTGCACTCCCACAGCTCTTGGCTACCAGAGCTGCTCCTCTGGGCAGTTTTATTCCTGTGGTCGCACTGATGTGCTAACCAGATATCATACATTAACAGAAATAAGAAGACAAAGTTAATACCTTTTTGTGCTTTCATGAGGAAAAATCTGCCAGGGAAGCCTGGCATCTGAGATGCACCCAGGGGGAAATGCTGCAGAAGTCATCCCCAGAATACACCCTTTCACAAGCAATGTTATCTCATCAACATCTTTGCTTAATGTAATTATCCCAAGGCATAGTTACTGCACCTTTTCCAGTCTTTAAGTATCAACACTTACATGATTATACATCTGTATAAAACACAACCTCTCATTTTAAGCATATTAAGCATTTAGATAACATAGTTCAGTTGTCCTTATTTCATTTTAACAAATGTTTATCAGTTTTGTAATTGATAATTTTAATTGTAACTTTTTTTTAAGCCTGAATGCTGATACAGTTTTAAGTAACAGGAAAAGTGGAAAAAACCCAATGATTGACTGTCCCACATTTCTGAAACATTTTTCCTACTTTTTCTAAAGCTCAACACATCAACTATTGTCCTGTTCCATAGGCATCATTCATTAGCTTACTTAAACAGATTAGTACAGCAGATTAATGTGCTAGATTATTAAAATAACCTTCCTCAGGGTCTGAATGTTTAATGGGGATCACTTAGAACATCTTGAAAAATACTGTTGCTGATGCTGCAATTTAAAATCAAGATAATAGAAATCAGAGAAAAGAGAAGGCAATAGATCTACCCATGTGTGCAGAATACAACCTAGTAGCAGAGAATAACTCAAACTGCACTCAAATGAAATAGCATCTTACTCTAGCCAGTTACAGTGAGTGCAGTTGCTGGATTTTTCAGAAAAAAAAAAAAATCAAAATCCAGATTTAAATAAGTAATATTGAAAAATGCTAACAAAGGAACACATACTGTAAATGGAGTAACATTAGGACTTCATCCAAAGTCCCTTGAAACCTATTTCAAATCACCGCTTTATTCAGATCAGATCTTTATTTAACATAAATGGGAGTGGAGGGGTGGAGATAAAAAAAAAAACAAGATTGCTCCTGAAAGCACTATCCTTCATGTTTCTCTGAAGTTAGGTTCCTCACATATTGGTGATAGCATTTATGCAGGAAGACATATATTACTTCAAAATAGAACTTAAATGTCTTGTTCTTCAAACAGTCACATTAAAAAAAACTTAAAAACTGGAAAAAAAACCAAAAAAACCAATACCAAACCAAACCAAAAAACACCACGACTAGCTGTGCACAGGAAATGCAGCATTTAGGTTAAATTGTCCCAAAGGAAAAAAAATACAAATACCTTTCAGTTCAGGAAGTGTCATCAGTCAACTCTGAAATAATAAACAGGACAAATTTGTTACCCACCTTTAGCTATGAAAAATCATAGGATCATAAACAAATTGCAAGGACTCTTCAGTGAAGCACTCAAGCATTTTCCAGCATATTTTGATTATTTTAACCCATTTGTCAGAACTGAATCTTTCAATTGGGTATTGGCTATTTGCACCTGGGTGAATGACCATGCGGTCACGATGTATTCAGTTCGTTGACATCTAATGGAGTGTTTAAATTTGACTAATGCAATCTCAAAACAAAGTCAGTGCACTAGGAAAACAATTATACATGAGGAGACCAGACAGTTTTCTGGAAAACAACTCACAGTTGAATGCACAGGAAGAATTATTATAGCATAATTTTAACGGCAACTTTATTTGGCAGACAATGTTTGTGTATGCTTTTGTCCCCAGCGTACATGGCAACATCAGCTGAATAACACGATAATTGCTTCAGAGATTAAGCTAAATTCAGATTAAAAACTTGTTCAAAAGCTTGGTTTTCTAACTAAGATTGCCCATCTCCACACGGCTTCTAACTTTTTCCAATTTTTCCTTTGAAATGAAGATTTTACAGCCTGGAAGCTCATGCATAGTAGTGAAATCTCATTGGATACAAGCCCTCTATGGATTTTTCAATAAGGGACACTGACGAGGACAGTGCTATGACCTCAGACAATGTCACCACATAGCTTAGAGGGAAATGGCAAACAGGGTTTAGTTCCTCTCTGAAATCAGTTCTCACTACAGAGGGTCCTGACTGATAGGACAAGATAGAAAGACAATGTCTTAATCACAGTGACTGTCAGGTCTCTTCAAGTCTTCTGTGCTCTCACACTTCCTATGATAAAGCCTCATGCCCAAAGGTGTGTCACAATTAAATGTAGCTAAGCAGAAATCCAATTTTCCTCAGTTAGCATCATTACTGTGTTTACAATGACAACATAAATAAGTGCAAACCCAATGTCTCCTCCCACTATTTTACAAAAAGAAGTCTCCAGCTATACCACTGTATGCAGCACAGATTTGAGAATAACAGTATTGGAGGTAACATCACAGTGATAATAATTTAGTCCTCCACGGCACAGAGCCAGAGTAAAACAAACAGTTACTTGCAGTGCAGGGACAGTTACCTTCATGGCAGTGGAAAGGCTGGAAGAAAAATTATATGATGAGCAGAACGCTGCTTTATTTCAATCCCCACTGAGAGCTTCTTCAGGAGCAACATGGCCAAAGGCAGTGCAATGCCTTTAGTTTTCCAGGTACTTTAGCAGAGTTCACACTGGCACACTCTTGATGAGCCCTTTGGGTTTTTTGGGTTTTTTTCATATTTGGTTTGTGGCCTCTATAAAAAAATGCAGGTAGATCTTTACATTGCAAAGTTGGACTGCAGACAGACTGGACCTCTCTGTCTCCCTGGCAGGCTGGAGATAAAACAGACTGTGGAAAGCACTCTAACTGAAAGCCTTGTAATTACAGCACTTCTATTAATTTGATATAAAGTTCCACTCACTGATTAAAGCCCACAGAGATCAGTTTAAGTCCCATGTTTGTAAACATGTCTATTGTCATGGCAAAAACAGGATTTCTCCTTCAGTCCAGCTAAATTGGCTTTTATTTTTGTTTATTGACCAGACTGTGGATCAAGCCAAAACTCTGTTGTTTTTATATTGATTTACAGATATACATTATAGCTGATGAAACATAGTTCTATCTCCTTCTCTAGAGGGACTCTTCTCAGTGTCTCTGACCCTGGGCCCCTGGGTTGCTGCCATGGCCCTGCACAAGCATTAGCAGACACGTGGTGTAGCTCTCTGGCATGGCTAAAGTCTCAGGACAGGTAGGTGTGGGTGGGCAGGAGCATCAGGAAAACAGGGATTCTTCTGTGCCAAGGAGGGCAGGTCCCTACACAGCCTCCAGAAGTAAGCCTGGCCCGGGCTCTGATGAGCAACAGCCAAGGACTACACAGACTGCAACACAGCTGCAGGCAAACAAGTGCTTCAGCAAAGGAATACATCAACTCCAAGCAGAGTAAGGGATATTATAAAGAAAATGGTACTTTTAATAAGGTTTGCAAGAGAAGGAAAGCCAGCCTGTGTACTGGGTCTGTTCTGTTTGCATAGATATGCCAAGAGAAAAATTTCCTTGACCTAAAGGAACTCAGAAATACTATACAGGGAAGGCGTTTACCTAATCTGTTCTTCATGCTGTCTTCACTACTGATGCTGCAGAGGAAGTAAAGCAATAAAAACTAGCATCTCTCAATTGCAACTTTTACAACATGCTGGGTAACTTCCAGCCAGCACAAGAAGCTGCATTTCACCAGCATACATGCTTATGTAAAGCACCAGGAGCAGCCATAGAGCTTGCAGTAAAAATGGATATCTTAAATCTGCCATGCCAGAGCAGAAATCTGATATATGAGCAGAAAATAAAAGCAGTGATCCTGTTCCTACTATTATGCTTAAAACTTATGTCAAGTGATTGCAATTTCCTTTTAAATTAAGCTTAGTCAGAGCAGAATTTGACCATAAGTGCAACTTCATTGCATCTTGCCCTGGTGCTAATTGATTTCAGCAGGAGAAGTACTGCAGTAGAGCTTGCAAAAGCCCAAGATTCTACTGGGTGTATCCTACTAAATTTGAGTTTTAAATTTGGTCTATTATGATGTGCCATAGTACCAATTATACTTATTGCTAAATTCCAATCTCCATTTGGCATTTGATCTCTTCATAAAATTGCTTATAACTTGACAAATTATTTTTATTTGAACTATGTTTTCAGGCCAAAAGTGATTTTTTCCCCCTCGAAAAATTATGAATAAAGTCAGACCAGCAAAAGCATTCACTGAACTCTAAGATCTGATACAAGCTGGTTTATATTTTTATATTTTCCCCCCTCCCCCAAGTTTCTGAGGACTCAGAAATGTTTTCCAAATAATTTCCAAACTGAGATGCCTTTGCAACATGAAAAGTGCATCTAGAAATTTCTCACAGCCACCCATCCAGAAAAAATACATACCATGAGTTATTG